AACTGAAGATTTCAAAAATAACACCCTTTTTAACTTCTGGCTGAGCCGAAAAAAAAAAAAAAAAAGAATTTTAATGGCATTTCTAATAAGGCTATTAAATTTTTATTGCCTTCTTGCACAACCTATTTGTGTGAACAAGGATTTTCTACCATGTTATATTTGAAAAATAAATACCAAGCAAAGTTAAAAGTGGATCCTACTTTACGGCTAAAACTAAGTGAAATAAGACCAGACATAATTGATCTCTCTTAACAGGCCCAAATTTCGCACTAAACTTTAGAATTAAAGTATTATAACTTAAGTTTTCATAATTAAAATGGCAACCAATTTTTAATCTAATGTTATGTTTGTATATTTAATACATATAAACAATGGGTTGTACAAATGGCAATACAGATATTTAATATTTCTATTGAGAAATTGAAAAATAATTATTGTAAAATGTGGTGGTGGTACTAAAGTTTTTCAGTTTTTGCTTGTATGGTACGCATTTATCAAAAGGTTGAGAACCGCTGGCCTAGACCTATGAGTAATGAATGATCTTAAAGAGGTGTCACTTTATATGTATTCCATAAATGTCTTCACCATAACGTAAAGAAAAGAAATCATATTTCGGATGGTGAGAGCCCCTTTTCCTAATTATTACGAATTTAAATCCTATTTCTAACAAAACTATCCATTCAAATCAATTTCAGATATCTAGAAAATATAATAACGTTAAACTGCCAGTGACGCAAGATAATTCGAATTAGGCAATAACGTTTGATAAAATGTAGCGCGATTCCATCTGAAGGTCGATCCTTTTCTAAATAAAGCAAAAGATTCTTCTTTAGATGCAGCTTTAACCCTAGAATTTTTAATATTGTTTCCAGGAGATTGGGACTTCAATTTTTCATATATCATGGATAGACATATTAAAAAAAAAAGAGTACCGCAGTCCTAAAACGTTTTTAATACGATATTCTACTTTTCTAATAAATAACCCAGGGGTTTTTAATGTATATCGATTGTTATTGTCTTAGTTATTAATATCCTTTAAAACTATGGGGAAGTAATTGCATATAATAAATTTTTATATTTCTGTATTGATACTTTAAATTATTTGTCCTTTTTTTATATATTTAAAATGTTGTTGACTTAAATGAATACATTTTTTTAAATTCCTGTGTGAGACATGGAACCCTTTTTAATTCTAAAAATAATCTTGATCTTGAATTTTATCAGGTTATATAGGTGTTTGAAAATACAATATTTTGAAATTTGATAAAAATACAGTTCTGCAATTAAAACCAATTTTTTTCGTTCATAAAGTAAAACAGCGCCCAACGTCCTAGCGGCAAAACCGTAAAACACAGGTTGTTTTACGGTTTTTGTAGTTTACATTATATGTGACGTTAAATATGAACCGCATCACTTTCCTTAAGTTGTTTGTCATAAAGTGATTTGCCATAATCTAACCTAGTTAATCCATTCTTAAAATAAAAAATTGAATAATTCAATCAATTAATTGTCTATCAATTAATTACTTGTCTTTCAATAAAATTTAAAAAAACTGAAAGCTTTCAGACATTACGCCCAAAGTGAGAGTTAAATTTAAGAAATAGAAAAGAATTTAACATTACGCCCAAAGTGAGGGTGCTTTGGGTTTTTTTTTTTTTTTTTTTTTTTTTTTACGTTTTGTGTGTTACTTTCATTTATTAAATATAATTTTCTTCGCACTTAAACCATAAAATTCAAAACCCAGCTTATAATAGCTAATTGTTTATGACGAAAAAATTGAGTTATGTTATATTATCTGCAATCAACCATTCGGCCTCTACTAGTTTTCAATATTCCTTATTTATAAAAGAAATATAGGAGAATTATTAAGTATTAATTTCCATTGTAAATAATAGGTGATAGAACTCAGGCCCCACTTGTGTTACCAGTTTAGTACATTAAATAAATAAATAAAAAAAAAAAAAAAAAAAACTTTTATTTTGCTGTAAAATTTGATACATTCATTGCTCAAATTCAGCTGAAGTCCATTTAAGCTTGGCTCTAGTACTTTTCAGTTTTGTCAGAGAGATAATTAATTTAGCTGCAATCCCAGATGTGTTGAATTTCATCACTTTGTTTCATAATTAAATCGAGTATCAGCAGAAAATTCTGTTAGCTGTATTCTAGTTTTTAGTGGACGGATTGATATTTACTCTTGAGTACATGCCTAACTTTCCACAGAAAACAAATATGCAAGCAAGATATTTTTGGAGCAGCCTATAGTCTGCCACTCTGGACCTGGACTTAAGCGAACCTTAATCTTTAAACACAGAAAACTATGAGCAGCGGAGAAGGAAACACCAAATTTGGAAATGCGACTCTTTCATGAAATGTAATGTTTATCGACTGAACCCATCCAATCAAAAAGACTTTATAAGGATTAGAGGTCGAAATAAAAATATAATTTTATTTTGTGAGCAAAGAATACTGATCAATTCCCCCTCCCCCCTTTTATCTTAAGTGCTACGTTTTGCTGCCGTTATTTAACTTACCTTGTCTTATTATTTCACGTATTTTTAATTCACTTAATTTTATTCATAATTTATCTATTAGCCATTAATTTAGGTTATTAATATCGTTATCTCTACATTTCATTTAATTTTAATATTATTTTTATATGTATTTATATTTCACAGATTCTGACAACCTTTCATAAGGTTCTAATACTTCTAATTTTTTAAATTTTGCCCCGCGTGTTATAAGGAATTTTTCCCTTCATTCCGCATATCTTCGTTGTGTTGACTTGGCACACTTGACGCGTATTCAAGAGGTCCAGGAGGCGAGTCCGGGCGAGGCATGCAGACTTCCCCTCCTTGTTCCCCCCCCCGAAAAAAAAATCCTTATGACTCTACAATGTAATTGAACTTCTAACCTGCATTACGTATCAAATTGTACAGCTTTCAAAAAGTACTTTTTTATTATTAGTGTTAAATTTTAAAACGTTTAAGTACATGCGTTTTAGTGGCATTTAAATATTCTAGTCGTATCATCTTGCGACATGTTTCGTGAAATTTTCAAGCTGGTCAGAAACCTGTACATGATACCTCTAGAATTTCTTTTGTGTGGGGTTTATAGAAGATGATGTTTAGTTAATCAAATTTCGTGAAATGTTTGAACTAGAACAAGAAATTATGGGACTACTTAGAACATTAACGCTCTAAATGGTAGGGAATAGGCAGCATTAAGTATCTGGAATACTATACCTGCTGTAAATTATAGCTTATTGAAATGTTTTAAATTTGAATACGTGTGACAAAAATTGTTCGATTTGCTTTTAAGTTAAATATATATTCTCCCTCCCAAAAAAAAAAAAAAAAAAAAAAACTTTGAGTTTCTGTATAGTTAGGTACAAGATATGTTTGGTTACTTTCTTTAGATTATTTACTTGTCGCTATGGAAATGAGATCAATAATTTATGAACACATTGTATTTATTGTAAGTGTCAGAAACAAAATTAAACTAACATCTTCTAAAATTTCGCGTCTAGCCCATACATTTTTTAATTTTTGTTGTTTTCTCATGAATACTTTTTTGCATTTCAGATTATTTTGTGAAATATACATCTACAGGTATTGGATGCAGGATTAGTCACTTCAATCTAAAGTGTCTTCACAACATTTATTGAAAGCCATTTGAACTTGAGTGCGCATAGTAAGATACGCAAAGGAAATCTATAAACACTTTAGCCATCTAAACTTGTACTTTAAATCTGCTAAGGACTTAAAGTTACTTGGATATTTTCATAATTATACATGATTCTGCTTTGTACTGAAGACAAAAATGCACTGCACTTTCTCTACTAATTTATAAATCGTCTTGTTAAAAGTTAGAACTGCTGAATCTGTGAATATTTATGACCGAAAGCTCTGCTTGTTAAAGTCGAGAAGCTGGAGTGGTGCGACAGCGGACAAGATTTGGCATTTTCCTACCAAGCCATGCTGGCCTGTTCTCAGGCTTCCAGCACACCATTTTCGGTTAAAGACATTCTCAACCTGTCTGATCAAGCAGGATTTGATCAGGCTCTGCTCTTCCATGCGCAGAGCCTGGAGAAACTCTTCGACGACGGAATGGACCCGTTCTATATGGGAAGCAATGGAGGTTCCATTGCTCCTTCAGCATCACCCACGTCCCCCTACTTTTTCGGGGAAATCGTCAAGCAAAACTACCAGCAAGCAACTCCGTTAACTTCTCCTCATGTCCAGAGTTTGTCTCACCTATGCCCGCCTTTCCCCAGCGGAAGTCCAGGGTTACTAAACAGCGGGTATGGTGGAGGGGACTATGGCGATGTCAGCATGTCATATAACAGCAATATTCTCAGGCATTCTGGTGTTTGTTCTACGCCCGAAATGGAAGATAAAAGTAAGTCTTTACTATTTATGTAACTATTTTTAAACTACATGTTATTGTAAAGCAGTGTTCCTCCAACGTTTTAGCAGCATGGCCCTCATGCGTACAGTACCGGCGTATCGCAACTTATGTGCATGTAATAGTTTTCAAGAAGCGATAAGAGGGAGGGAAGGACTCCGAAGAAAATAGTTTAATAATACAATAACAGAAATAAGCATGCATAATTATCAACGAGTAATTATGAATTATAAATTAAGAAATAATTTTAAGTAAATTCATATGACTGTGTAGCAACAAAAAAGAAAAAAGGAATTCAAATTTTCCCCTGACCTGACAAGAATTACATCGTGTCCTAGTTTACTGCTGCAGCAACTCACAGTTTGAGAACTATTGTTGTAAGGGTAATGATAGTTAAACCAGGGTCGTACCTCAGTCTGAAGAGTTGATTAAAACTGAGATATTAAGCAGGCTAATTTCTAAAATAGAATTAAAAACGCTGCAATTTGTTTTTATAACCTTCGCGTTAATTTCAGAATTTAAAACACGAAAAAGAAGGAACCATTTTATTGACATATTATTTGTTACTTCGCTTAAAAATAGTTTTCGATTAGACTTCGTTTCCATACAAAATTACAAATCTACTTATGCAGTATATTTATTATGAATTGCGTATACTATCATTTGCCACTGTATGATCCTTATGTCTTGTTTTATTTCTGCTTTACGCGTATTTTAATGCATTTTATAGGTTTAATTGTTCGTTCGTTGGATCATCTTTTCCAGTATTGCTGCCGGATAATCTAAACTTCGGAGAAGTGAATTAAATTTCCTTCCTTTATTAAAGTACAAGTTCTCACATTAAAGTCGTCTATGATGAGGACAAGGTAATGCGTGGAGAGGGGAAAAATGAGAGAATTCGGGTTGAGATAATATCTTACATCTTTTCAAAAGCTTTCGAGTGATAGTTATAGTAATTAAATGATTTTGTCGAACAAAAACGATAATCGATGAAAGTTTAATCTTCAAAAGAAGCAATAAATGCCCTTTTTCTTCTTGAACGGAGGCAAGGAATGTTATAAGTGTTTGAAAAATTAAGATACTCTGATAAAGTAGTAGATAATTTGTTAAAACTCTGATAAATTAGTTATTTAATATACCGATATTTTTTCCCAAGCATTTTTAGATTCAAGTTTTGAAAATTTTAAAACTATTTGCGTATCATTCCCTTCTTTAGTACGTCCAGAAAAGCTCCCATAAATTTTTAAATGGTTTCGTCCACTTCGTAACAAAGACAAACCCTCGCAAACTACCTGCAAAGTTCACGCCGAATCTTTCCCTTTTAATTGTTGAAAGTTATGCCAGCCTATGCATCGCAGCCAAGCAAACGCAAACTGACATTCAGTCTACGATTTCACTGAGACAGCTACACATTCACTTTCTCTAATTATTTATGTATGAGTTGCAGAGACAATAGTAGGTACGGGCGAGGTTTAATTTACAAGGAAGTGAAATGAAGATACCTTGTTAGATACTATAATGCTAATAATACAATGTATTCTAATTGTAACGCAGATTTCTCTTAAAAAATAATATTGTAACCTAAAGTTTATCCATAACTACTTTTCATTTGTAATGTTCACACTGTAACCGCGGAAATTAAATTATCGCATAATTTTCCTCTATTGGTTTTCGGATGATAAAAGTAGTAAAAAGAATGGTAAAAATATGGTGTTATGTGGTTAAAAAAGTTTTGACTTTATAAGGTATATCTCCAGCCTTCTTAGCATGCCTTCGTAGTGTAGAGATCAGCATACTCGACGCGTATTCGAGAGGTCCGAGGTTCGAGTCCCGGCGAGGGCACTGCTTATATTTCACGTCTCTCAGCATCAAAAAATTCTAATGTCTCTGAAACTTTATGAAGTTAAATACAGTAAAGCTAGTAAGATTGTGACATACGAGCGCTGTACCGAAAGATCATGGATCGGAAACATTGAACCGACTCCTTGGAAACGATTGTTAATTGTCACCCATAAATCTGTGTCGTCATCGTAAATCTGTGCCGAAATCTGTGTCGTGTTTTGTTATTCGTAAAGCCAATGCATGTTGGCAAAGTCGAACTGTAGTATACTTAAAGCATACATAAGATGGATACTGTTGAATACCGTCGCAAAATTAAAAAAAGATTCTCTATTTAATTTTGTGTCAGTTCATGTAGAAATAGACAGGAACATTTCAGATTATCGAATTAGAGTATGGTGAAGAAGAAACGGGCAGATTAGCCGTATTTAAGCGGCGGAAGCATTCTAAGTAAAGCAGTACAAAGAAGAGCTGAGAAGAAAGCCTCCGTTAACATGCGTGTACGATGGGAATATTAGAAAAGTAAAAACGTTGTTGAATAAAAAATGGACATGTATCTATTCGTGTATTGTCAGTTACAATTAATGCTGGCGTAGCAAATTGTGACAATACTATCAAAAATTTTCTGATAATCTGAAGATTAGAGCCACATTGAGTAAATAACTAAAGAACAAAAAATCCAACGTATTCAGTGATGCTAGACATTTCTTCAACGAGAAAGGTCTTAATTGTTGCAACATGATAAATACCACTCACGATTCCTGAGTCTGTAGCATTATAATTCCGATCAAAGTAAGAGCCCAGCGTATAGATATATAGCAATTTACCGAATCAATTGAATTTCGTGTATCTAATAGTTCCTCAAAGACGTTAATACTGACTTTTTTTGTTTAATATCTGTGAAACAATATTCTAGCTCTGGATTTCAGAAAAATAAACTTTAACCGGATATTATTATGCTACTGTCTGGCATAGGAATGTGATATTTAGAGTAATTCTAATTACGGCGGTATATAAATTTTTTAAATTAATGTGAAAATTATCGTGGATTGTCGATTAATAAACAGGTTCCTCTAAGAAGATAGAGTGCCGCCGAGATCCATAAGTTTTCTTAAAAGATTTGTTCTACTTTTGATTTTAAGAGTAATATACTAAGGTACCTAATTTTATTTTTAAAGTTTAGTTTAACTAACTAAAAATAAGAAAAATTTAATAATATAAAATTTATATATATATATATTTAATTTAATAGGAAAACATTTAGTGTATAAAAATATAATTATATCAATAGTTTAATGCAACTGCTGGCACTAATATTTGTTAATAATATAATTTATAATAGTTCGAGCAATTCGATTTGAATTATTTCGTCAGAATAGTTTCCCCTTGATCGTAATACGACAGGATATAGAAGCTTTATAGAAAATTAGTGGGCTGTTTATAGACCACTCTTCATACAACCCACAACCCATCGCATACGATTACTAGGCTTTTCTAATATTTTAAGCCAAAGAAAATTTAGCATGTACCCAAAAGCAAAAAGTTTTATATTGGCTGTCTTACTGATTCTCGGAAACGTGTTTGAGAAGCATCTCTGAAAACGGTATGTAACAAAATACGAGTGCCACTCTTTCGAAAACCACACTTCAAACCTCTTGAGGACTAGTATTCCGAATACTGATTTCAGTTTACGAAATTCCGGAACAGCTCTTTTACTCTGCATATTGACTGTGACAAGAATCGATGACTATTAGTGACAAGAATCGTCAATTATTAAGAGCTCAGATTTCAAGTTTAATTATAAAAGATGACCAGATTCTGTTTGTTAAACAATGTACTTTATTTCAAGCAATTAACAATATTTATTCCATCAGTATTTCATGATAAGGAATAACAAAACAATCAAGTAAAAAAAAAATCACAGCATTCTAAAAAAATATGCTTAATACATATCGCACGTATATTTTTCTTTAATTCGACGCTTCTTTTAATCATCGATCAATCTCTGAGCTTACAATATTTTAGTAATATTACATTATATTAGCAAAGCCTCTGTTTTTTGCTGTTTGTACGCATGCTGTTTTTATGTGAAATGCGCATCTTGTTATTGCATTAATTTTCATTAATAATTCAGTTGCTATAATTTTGCAAGTTTGAAAGAAATGTAAATACTTTAACAATGGAAATTGTTATTTGAAATTACATTAATTTCAGTTTTATTCTCAGTTTAATATTGATCTTTCTCAGCTATTAAAAATCATTTTAAATTCAGTAATACGTCCAGTAATTCTTTAGTCGGTAATACTCCTCGATGACAATATTTTCTTCTGAATAACTATTAAGTTTTCCTCCATTACACCGAAATCTTCAGAGTCATCCATTTAAAATTCTGTAGTTTATAACTGCTTAGTCCGTTTTACTTAGTGCGGAATGAAGTTGGAATAGAAACCTAAATATCCTTTAATTTATATTTGTGCACTCTGTAAGTTCCGTTATAAAAAATATGAGAGTTTCAGAGAGTAAGAGGCGTCGCTTCATCGTGGTTAATTTTCAAGTAAAATGCATATTCTTCATATTCTTTAAAAATGTAGTAAAAGAATCATGGAAAAAGCAAAAGAATTTTTTAAACCTTGTATATAAGAGCAAAAACTCTGACCTTGTCCTTTAGAAAAAATTCTTGTCATGAAGAAATGACACGTGAAAACATATTTAAAAAAAAAAAAAAAAAAAAAAGTAAGCTTTTAGATTTTACATTACGCCCAAAGGCGCCCCCCCCTTTTTTTTTTTTTTTTTTTTTTTTTTTTTTTTTTTTTTTTTAACAAATTCCAAATTTGGGCTTCCAGATGCCCATAATCCGGTGGAAACGTACGTTATTCAAAATTTGATGACTTTAGGTACCGTTGTTTTATCACAATGCGAGAAATATGCATATATTTATGCGGATTCTTCATTATTTAATTCCTTTAAATATAATACAGGGGTCTCATATTTGGTGGCAACAATTTGAAAAGTGAACCGACATTTATAGTGAACCAACGCAAAATGCCAAAACGAAATTAATAGCCCTTCTGGGCTAAAGCCCTTTGGGTTAATAAAAAAATTAAATTATTTAGTATGTGTATTTAAGTATGTTGATCAACGTTGCCGTCTGCAGT